GCGATTTTGATTTTTTTAAGTACAATAACTGCCACGCTTTGTATTGCGTAAAAGTAGAAGCAGTTCAATCACGCAGTGCTGAGTCTTGCAATCTGCCACGAAGAAGGTCGCTGCTGTGAGAACTTTGCACACCGTTCGTGAAGCAATTGTGCAGTAGCAAGGGTCTCACAGAAGGGCGAGAAGTTGTCACCCGTGCTTGCCACAAAAATCACAGAAAGTATCAAGACGACTGTTCCTGAGTCGGGGGCCAACGGCTCGCCTTTAGCCTCAGGCTGAACTCTTGGAAAGGGCAATGGAGAGATTATTATGGAGAGAGAGATCAAGACGACCCAGGCTAACTTGTCAAGCTGAGGGATCTCAAGTGCTTTCACCATTTGGGAGCGTCGCGTTCTGATTCGTAGAATTTTGCAAGGAAGCATAATCATAGTCCAGCCATTGGTTTTTTGTGGCGATTTTGATTTTTTTCAGTACAATAACTGCCACGCTTTGTATTGCATAAAAGTAGACGCAGTTCAATCACGCAGTGCTGAGTCTTGCAATCTGCCATGAAGAAGGTCGCTGCTGTGAGAACTTTTCACACCGTTCGTGAAGCAATTGTGAAGTAGCAAGGGTCTCACAGAAGGGCGAGAAGTTGTCACCCGTGCTTGCCACAAAAATCACAGAAAGTATCAAGACGACTGTTCCTGAGTCGGGGGCCAACGGCTCGCCTTTAGCCTCAGGCTGAACTCTTGGAGAGGGCGATGGAGAGAGAGAGATCAAGACGACCCAGGCTAACTTGTCAAGCTGAGGGATCTCAAGTGCTTTCACCATTTGGGAGCGTCGCGTTCTGATCCGTAGAATTTTGCAAGGAAGAGTGGTCCAACCACTGATTTGTTGTGGTGATTTGGACCTTTTAGTGCTCTAAGTGCCGTACCCCTTGCACGGCATAATTTAGCCCGCCACGGTCCACGGTAACAAGCGTTCAAGCACAAAGTGCTGAGCCCTGTGCTGTGAGAACTTTGCACACACTTTGGGGAACACGCTGAGGATACTGATTGGTGCGTTTTGCATAAATTTTCTTTCCTTCGACAGGTGTGCTGGGTTTGGTCAAGTTGGCCATCCAGTAAATCTGGCTGAATCAAAGATGGAAGAATAGAGAGTGCCATGGAAAATCTTTTTCTTGGGAGGCCCGCTGCAGGGCCAACAAAATACATTGTGTCACAGACTTCCAATTTGAAGGCTAAGATCTCACGCTGGGATTGAGTGCGCTGGCCGTGATCTTGTGCACTGACGGCTGCCTAAGAAACCTGGCTCAAAATTATCCTTAGAAGGGTTGTATTAAATAAAGCAACCTGCAGGGCCCAAAATCCCAATTTCAATGGCGGGACGTTCCAAATTGAATTTGCAGAAGCTTCGCCCGTCAAGGCTGTCTTCGGTTAGCAGCATGGCCCAAATGTGTACTTAGAGCCACGATTGGAGAGCGTTCTGTCCAGCAATCCTGTGAAACCTAATGCACAAAAGGCGCACACAAAATTAAATCCACGCCCGGCCTCAGTTTCTCCTTCAAGCTTGACGCTCCCCTGCTCTGGCTATGTTCACATCAGCGCACGTGCAAGCGCAATGAACGTCAAACGGACCACCCTTCTTTCACGGGACTTTCACGCACGTGTGGGGCTTTTCACGTTCTGAAAGTATTTTTTTAAATATTTTTTTATCACATTCTTGGTTGTTTTTTTCTCATTAATTCACGGTCAACAATTTGTGTCTGCCCGCAAATCAATCTGACGGGTCAGAAAGCGTTCAAATAGTTGTTGAATCACAGCACGATGATGACTTTGGCTTGAAAGTCCTCCGTCTTTTTTTTCCCCGTGTTGTTTGCGATAAGTTGTGGGTGCCTTCAAACAAGCGCCAGACAAATGTGTCATTTGAGCAGGTACATGCAGGTCGTGCAGCTTAAACCCATCGGTTTTCCAAGAAGTGGATGGTACAGAAGGAATAACTTGAATCGGAGAACGAACACCTGTTACCCTTTGGATTCCAGATGGCGAAGTTTGCTCGATTTGATGATCGATTCTTTCCGGGGCATTGAAAGGTTGTTTTCTTGGGGACTTGGCAAAGGGGCCGGCTGTCAGCGAAATTCCCTAGCGAGGTTGCTGACTCACAAAGGTCATTGGCCGGCCAACAATTAAACTGATGTGCCGATTAACAAAACATGGTGCAAGGGCAGCGAGTCTCTCAACGCAGTATTCTTCTGAACTTGTGGTTTTTCGTTAGCCCTGAACATCAGCCAACCTTTTGTCGCCAGCAACACTTGCTGGAAAAGGCACTCGTGAAGTAGTGACATGCCAAGAGTCTAAGAGCACGACGAACGGTTGTCACGCATGCTTGCCACGAAAGGTATCAAAACGATGCATGCTAATGTGTCAAGATACAGGATCTCAAGTGTTTTGCTGTTTTGGAGCGTCGCGTTCTCATTCGTAGGATTTTGCAAGGAAGCATAATCATAGTCCAGCCATTGGTTTTCTGTGGCGATTTTGATTTTTTTCAGTACAATAACTGCCACGCTTTGTATTGCATAAAAGTAGAAGCAGTTCAATCACACAGCGCTGAGTCTTGTAATCTGCCATGAAGAAGGTCGCTGCTGTGAGAACTTTGCGCACCGTTCGTGACGCAATTGTGCAGTAGCAAGGGTCTCACAGAAGGGCGAGAAGTTGTCACCCGTGCTTGCCACAAAAATCACAGAAAGTATCAAGACGACTGTTCCTGAGTCGGGGGCCAACGGCTCGCCTTTAGCCTCAGGCTGAACTCTTGTAGAGGGCAATGGAGAGATTATTATGGAGAGAGAGATCAAGACGACCCAGGCTAAATGGAGAGATTATTATGGAGAGAGAGATCAAGACGACCCAGGCTAACTTGTCAAGCTGAGGGATCTCAAGTGCTTTCACCATTTGGGAGCGTCGCGTTCTCATTCGTAGAATTTTGCAAGGAAGCAGAATCATAGTCCAGCCATTGGTTTTCTGTGGCGATTTTGATTTTTTTCAGTACAATAACTGCCGCGCTTTGTATTGCATAAAAGTAGAAGCAGTTCAATCACACAGTGCTGAGTCTTGTAATCTGCCATGAAGAAGGTCGCTGCTGTGAGAACTTTGCGCACCGTTCGTGAAGCAATTGTGCAGTAGCAAGGGTCTCACAGAAGGGCGAGAAGTTGTCACCCGTGCTTGCCACAAAAATCACAGAAAGTATCAAGACGACTGTTCCTGAGTCGGGGGCCAACGGCTCGCCTTTAGCCTCAGGCTGAACTCTTGGAGAGGGCAATGGAGAGATTATTATGGAGAGAGAGAGATCAAGACGACCCAGGCTAACTTGTCAAGCTGAGGGATGTCAAATGCTTTCGCCATTTGAAATTTGGGAGCATTACGTTCTCATTGGTAGAACTTTGTAAGGAAGAGTGGTCCAACCACTGATTTGTTGTGGTGATTTGGACCTTTTTAGTGCTCTAAGTGCCGTGCCCCTTGCACGGCATAATTTAGCCCGCCACGGTCCATGGTAACAAGCGTTCAAGCACAAAGTGCTGAGCCCTGTGTACGAACATGCAGAAGGTCGCTGCTGTGAGAACTTTGCACACACTTTGGGAAGCACTCGTGAAGTACGAGCAGTGCAACAGTGCAAAAGAAGAACAAACAGTTGCCACAAGTGGCTGCCACATGCATGGTGTTCAGATGGTGCCGGTAACCCTCGAAGTCCAAGTGTCTGACTGGAAAGGGGTTTTGCACCAAGAGATAGTCATTTTTTCATAACTGCAAGTACTTTACTCTTGATTAAATAAACATTTGCCCGCCACAGTGCGTTCCTGAGGACCTATCTCGCATTCCTGGGTCTTTGTGCTCCAACACGCAGAAAGTCCGTTGTGAAGCGGTATCAAAGCGATGCATGCTAACGTGTCAATACACAGGATCTCAAGTGTTTTGCTGTTTGGGAGCGTCGCAACGTAGCGCTCAAGTGTTCTCTTGCATGCTCATTGTGCGGGAAGGGTGGCCGCAGCCAGCCACGCGCTGTCCAAGGATCAAGCGCAAGCCTGACCATCTGTCCACCGTGGACGCATCGCTTTCTTTGTGCGGTTGTTATTTTGGCCTTGGTGGAAGCACTGCGAAAAGGCCTTGCTAGAATTCTGGGCACAGGACCGGTGCTGAGATGAGTCTCAATCGTGACTTGCTTGGTAAATTTGTTGTGCAACAGTCACGTTCTGCGACAGTTTGATGGTGTGACCAGTCAGTGGTCCCGGCCCTGGCGGTGTTGCAGGGCAGACCTGGTTAGATCCGCGCACAGGCGATCAGCACGAGGCGGTCACACGAAGCCACTCCAACGCTATTCCAGCGGTTCCAAATCGCCATGCCGGTGATGTCTTGCCTTGAAGCAGTTTGGGACCTGACACCGTACCTTCGCTGAACCGGAAGAGAAGCCGTCCCAAGTCTCGCCGGAGGTGCTCCCGCTGCACAAGTGGGTGCCGAGGTCAGGACGCTGGGATCTTTCCCATGCAATTCACAGAGGTCACTACGGGTTGTTGAGGGATCATGCTTTCGAGCTTGCACGTTTTTCTCAGTTTGCTTCCAGTTTCCTCAAATTCTCTAAGCTTACTTGGTGCCTGTGCGGAGACCGTCAAGATTACACTAGCTCAAAGACATCAGAGTTTTCTTGGCAACTCACAGCATGCAGCAGGGCTTGCAGATGTGTGCACAGTCAGTGAGTTGTAAAAAAGAGAGCCTCAACCGACCAGGACTTCTCCTGAACTCTGTGAACATTTGAGGTCAGAATGGTTTTGCACATTCAAGCGCCCGGTACTTTGTCTGTCTCCAACATGAACGCAAAGAACCCATTTTGAAATTCTATGAGAATCTGGAATCTCTCCCGTGTGAAGAGTTGTGATTTGATGAAAGATGCATCTGCTTTTGCGCTGTCAGATGTTTCAATACACGGGAGGAGTTTTCAGCGTTTTCCTATATTTCTATAGATTTCTGCCCGCACAGGATGTGTGAATACATGCAAATGGTGGATGATGGGATCATGGGTCCATGGTGGCGGGTGGCGCAACATCAACCTTACATTTTGGCATATTTTGGCAATGTTTAGAATCAACGCCCAGTGTTTCAACAGTTCAACATGATTCAACATGTATGGACTGCAGGTAGTGTTGCAGGTTCCTTGTAATGGTCGTGCCATGTCGTGCCCAGCTACAGCAGAGCATTTGAAATCTCTCGTCGTGAAGGGATACACTGATGAAAGATACATTTGCTTTTGAGCTGTCGGATAATGCCACCACCGTTTCAAGAACTCTTGGCTCTGAGCATGATGCTAGGCGGTGGGGGAACATAGAAAGAATCTCCCGTACTGTCCTGTGCCTTGAATTCTTGGTGCAGCTTTTCAGATTGATTCTTGACGTCCCTCTTGAAGAATTTTTCATGTTTTTCTATGAGATTTCCGTCCACGCGGGATGTGTGAATACTTGCATGTGGCAGGTCGTGGATGGTGGATGGCGCAACATCATTCCTACATTTCGCTGGCATCAACGCCAGTATTGCAACATGTATGGACATGTTTTTTTACGTCGAACTCTTGCAGATGAGGATTGAAACAGCCGGCTTCGACAGTTCCAAAATGCAATGCCAATGGTTCCTTGCCCAGCTGAAGCGTTTTGGGACATGACATGACCTGTTAATGGGTTTGACGATGCGACATTCATAGTTGGCAAGGTCGTGACGCTGAGCTGGGATCTTCCCGTGCAATTCAAAGGCCCACAGTTTGCTGAGGGAACATGCTTTTTTTGAGCTTCCACGTTTTTCTCAATTTGCTTTGTTTTCTCAAATTCTCTTTGGTGTCTGTGGAAAGCCGTCAAGATTGCATAGCTTTGGTGTTCAGTCAGTATGCAGCAAAAGGCGGTTGTCAACATTCAAACGCTGGGTATATACCCTACGTCAACCGGACTTTATCACCCTGCTGATAGCCAAGTTGTGAAGATTCAGTCACGTTTCAACACCATTGATCGGGCTCCGTGATCTTTTCCAAGCGCCCGGTACTTTTTCTGTCTCCAACATGAACAGCAAAGAGCCCATTTTTAATTCCATGAGAATCTGGAATCTCTCCTGTGTGAAGAGATATGATGAAAGATGCATCTGCTTTTGCGCTGTCAGATGAGTTCCCGGCACCCCCGGACCTTGAGTTCAGTCGGGATTTGGAATGTCCAGGATCGACGTGTGAATTTCTACCTCCGCATGTCAAAGCTTGAAGCCACTGTGCTGAATGTCCGTGCTCGTGAACAGCTGTCCAATGACTTTGATTTGTCAAGCGTTGCTCCGACACAGGAGGCGGATTCTCTGCAGTCGGGCAGCTTGCCGTGTGCAAAGTAGCGCTCAAGCGTTCTCTTGCATGCTCCTTGTGCGGGAAGGGTGGCCGCAGCCAGCCACGCGCTGTCCAAGGATCAAGCGCAAGCCTGACCATCTGTCCACCGTGGACGCATCGCTTTCTTTGTGCGGTTGTTATTTTGGCCTTGGTGGAAGCACTGCGAAAAGGCCTTGCTAGAAGTCTGGGCACAGGGCCGGTGCTGAGATGAGTCTAAATCGTGACTTGCTTGGTAAATTTGCTGTGCAACAGTCAGTCAAGTTCTGCGACAGTTTGACGGTGTGACCCGTCAGCGGTCCCGGCCCTGTCTGTGTTGCAGGGCAAACCTGGCTAGATCCGCGCACAGGCGATCGTGAGGCGGGGGGCACAGGAGGCACTGTGGAATTAAAGTATTGTTTTCCTTCTACTCAAGCATTAAATGAAAATAACTCTGTGTGTATATATATATATATAGTCAATGAAAATGCGGCTCTGCTCGTTTCAAGATTTCTTGAGAGGATTCGGCGTGCAACTTGTGTGGAAACAATCAAAGAAAACATACTTGGAGGTTCCTTTGTTGGGTTTGGGCATCAGCGCTATGCCATCACATCAAAGGTAGGACGAGCACTTGCTTGTGCACTGGATTTTTCCCTCCCTTGTGCGCTGGGATTTTCCCTGGCTTGTGCACTGGATTTGCTTTGGGCTAAGACCTGAAGCAATACAGATCAATATTGCGTGGCAGGTGCGTTACATTGCATGTGAGAAGGAGATAGAAGGAGTCGAGGTGAAAGCGGGGGATTGTCTCTGACGAGCATGTTGCAGCATGGCGTCAAGTAGGAAAACATGTTCCGGCGTAGCATCAAGTAGGTAAGCGTGATGCAGTCTTCCAGCGTAGCATCAAGTAGGAGAGCATGTTCCAGCGTAGCATCAAGTAATTAGGCAAGCATGTTGCAGCCTAGCATCGTCGCCATTCTGGTGCGCGTGTGAAGGTACGTTAACATCCCACCCCACCCCACCCCACCCCACCGCAGATGCGAATGTTGATGAATATAATTATATGAGTGTAATTTCCCAGTGAGTTGGCTGATTGTTGGCTGTGTCAGTGCGCAAGTGAGTTGAAATTTATATCACTCAGTGCGCAAGCGAGTGAAATTTCCAGTGCGCAAGTGAGTGGTAGATTGCAATGAGCGCTGGGTTTGGGCAATGGCACCAGAGTTTCTGGTCTGATTTCTTCAGGAGGGAATGCGGAGAGATTTCGTGAACGTTTTTAGACCAAGGGGATCAAGGCGTTTGGCCTGAAAAAATCCCATTAAATCAACCTAGCGTAAATCCCGATAAATCCCATGAAATCACGGTTTTTGATGCTGCGATTTGCCAGGCTGACTCACCGCTCGAGTGGTGACAAAAACCTCCAAGTAAGAAAATTATATGGGGATGAAACTAAATTGGGCCAGAAAAACATGCCTGTGCGACATTCATTTTACTTGGATCCTTTTTGTACAATCGTCACCTGCATCACACTCGTCGCCATCATCATCACCATTATCCTCAGCATCATTACCTTTGTATTTCGTTTGAATCTCATCCACATCAACCACATGCCATGAATGTTGCACCCGCGTTCATGAAAACGTGTGATAGGTCGATCTTGACGAGAACCAGCCAAAAACATTGGGATCGGCACTCTCCTTTTCATCACCTGCTACCACAGCCATACCTTTCGGGCCCTACTTGAACTACACTTACACAGGTATAATATGGCATTGAGCCCGCTGTGCGGGTATGACATTTCCACCCGCAGACGAAGACGAATTGCGAAGACGAATTCCCCGAAGACGAATTGCGAAGGCGAATTCCCCGAAGACGAATTCCCCCCCGAATACGAATTGCGAAGACGAATTCCCCAAAGACGAATTGCCCCCGAAGACGAATTGCCCCCCGAAGACGAATTCCGAAGACGAATTCTCCGAAGACGAATTGCCCCCCGAAGACGAATTCCCCCCGAATACGAATTGAGAAGACGAATTCCCCGAAGACGAATTGCCCCCGAAGACGAATGCCGAAGACGAATTCCCCGAAGACGAATTCTGAAGACGAATTCTCCGAAGACGAATTTCCCCCCGAAGACGAATTCTCCCCCGAAGACGAATTGCGAAGACGAATTCCCCAAAGACGCGCCCCGAAGGCGAATTTTCCCACCCGAAGACGAATTGCGAAGACGAATTCCACGAAGACGAATTGCCCCCCGAAGACGAACTCCACCGCGAAGACGAATTGCGAAGACGAATTCCCCGAAGACGAATTGCGAAGACGAATTCCCCGAAGACGAATTCCGAAGACGAATTCCCCGAAGACGAATTGCGAAGACGAATTCCCCGAAGACGAATTCCGAAGACGACTTTTCCACCAACGACTTGGGAGAAAAGCATGCATACACTCAAAGCCTACATGCATGTCATATATGCATCTAGTTTTTATTTTGGCAAACCTTAGGGACATTTTTTTGTCCATGGTGGGTTTTCACCGTATAACGGACGTTTTTGTTTGGTTCACTTGCATATTTTCCCTACAAGTCCTAGGGCCTGTCATGTTAGGAACTGGGCCCCCAGTTCCAGGAACTGGCGGAACCATGGTCACGGTTCCAAGGGTTGGTTTATGGACCCCAACACCGATCATGATGACTAACGAAGAAGGTAACGAAATGAACGATTTTGAAAAAAGGAAGGAAATAGCGACATGAACGCATTGACATGAAAGGAAGAGGTAAATGAACAGGATGGAAGCGTTGAAACGAGGGGGAGGAAGTAGCGAACGGAAGGGAAGAGTTAAACCGATTTAAAGCGGAAGGAACGACGTATAGGGAACAGAAGGGAAGAGTTGAAACGAAAGAAGTAGCGAACGGGATTACAAAGAGTTGAAACGAAAGAAAGGAAGCAACGAATGGAAGGGAAGAGTTGCAACAAAAAGATGGACGTAATGAAAAGGACAAGTTGACAGGAAAGGAAGAGCAGGAAGAACAGGACAGAAGATTTGAGCGAAACGACGGACTTCGCGAAATGAACGCTTTTAAATGAGAGAAAGAGGTGAACGAATAAGATGAAACAATGTGGAGGAAGTAACGAACGGAGCTGAGCAGAAGTTAAAACGAAAGGAGCGACGTAGCGAACAGAAGGGAAGACAAAACGAAAGGGAAGAGTAACTAACGAAATGCTCTGGATGCTATAGCCTCTGGTCTTGCTCTTTGAGATTTTGAAAATTCTTTTGATGCTACACTCTTGGCCTTCACCTGAGGCGTTTCAGCACGCCCTTGACGCTACGCTCTGGAGACAGTCGCCTCTTGAATGCTATGCTAATTTTCTCTTGGAAGTTCGAACAAGCTCTTGGTGCTACGCTCTTGGCTTACTCTTGGGTTTTTCGACACGCTTTTGCTGCTACGCTCTGAGCATCTCTTAGCTTTCTCCTGGGCCAGTCCGGCAAGCTCTTGATGCTACGCTCTCCTTCCAACAGGCTCTTGGTGTGTTTTATCTTCCAACACTTTCTCTTTGCCTTGTCCTGGGACGTGCCAGCACGCTCTTGACGCGACGCCCTTGGCTTCTCTTGAAGCATGGCGCGCTATTTTTGCTTCTTTTTGTGACACATTGAATTCCAACACGCTCTTGATGCTACGTTCTTGGCTCCGGCTCTGACACTCTCTTGATGCTACGCGCTGAACCTCGTCTTGGAACAGTCCAAGATGCTGTTGACGCTACGGTCCACCACAATCATGATGATACGCTCTTATAATTTTTTCTTGGAACTTCCAACGCGCTCTTGTTGGTGCTACGCTCCGCCTCTTGAGGCTGCGGTCTGGAGAAAGTCACGCTCTTCCTGCTACGCTCTTAGCTTTGTTCTGGAACACGCCAGGACGCTCTAGTTGCTACGCTCTTTTGTTCTTCCTCAGGCATTCCAGCATGCGCTTGATGCTACGCTCTCACCTCCAACACGTTCTGGATGCTAGACTCTTAGGTTTTTCTTGGTCCTTCAACACGCTCTCTTGGTATTGCTCGCTTAGGTTTCTCTTGGAACTTCCCACGCGCTCTTGGTGCTACGCTCTTGGCTTCCTCTGGGAACTGCCAGCGTTCTCTTGATGCTAGCCTCCTGTGCTATGCTTTTAGCCTTGGTACTTCCAGCAGGCTCTTGATGTTACGCACTCAACTCCCGCATGTTCTCAATGCTACACGCCAAATACTTTTTCATTGAACTTCCTGAACTTTCTCCTGGAACACTCCGGCGCTCTCTTCGTTTGGGTTTGGTAAGAAGATAAGAAGGTTCTACTACTTCAACTTAATGATTGATCCTTGCCTCAAGGATCTTCAACTGAGGTTGCAAAAGCACGCCACACGATCTTGATAATTACCTCTACGCTTTATATTTCGACATAACCTAGCCTTGGTGATCAGGCCAAATCCTATCTGCCCTCCGGCTCCTCTTCCTCTCTACATTCCTATTTATCTTCCCACATACAAAGAATACAGTACGCCTGCGCCCTTGCTCGTCATGCCTAGCCTGTCAACAGGCAATGTGTTGTCAGCCAATAATATACACACAATGCGTCGTCAGGGGGGTAATGCGTTGTCAGGGGGCAATGCGTTGTCAGGGAATGTGTCGTCACAATGAGTCGTCAGGGGGCAATGCGTCGTCAGGGAATGTGTCGTCACAATGCGTCGTCAGGGGGTAATGCGTCGTCAGGGGGGAATGCGTCGTCAGGGAATGTGTCGTCACAATGCATCTTCAAGGGGTAATGCGTCGTCAGGGAAAGTGTCGTTACAATGCGTCGTCAGGGGGTAATGCGTCGTCAGGGGGCAATGCGTCGTCAGGGGGCAATGCGTCGTCAGGGAATGTGTCGTCACAATGCGTCGTCAGGGGGGCCGGGGACATCGCCAATGTGTCGTCACAATGCGTCGTCAGCGTCAGCGCCAAATGTCATACCCAAGCTGCGGGTGCCCTGTATATGGTGTACCGGTATTCACATCGTCACAAATTGGCATGTCTTTTACCGTAAGAGTGAAAGTATCGCAGGTGCATATACACATGTACAGACATACGCATGTATCTGATACCGATATAAATAAACAAATATAAATAAATAGATAAATAAATAAACAAAAAATGTATAAACAAATAAATATATACATATATATGCTCTGATCTCTTTGGATTCTATGCTTGAGGAACCACTTCCAATCTCCCAATCCCTTCATCGACCGACCCCAGCCAATTTGCCCCAATGTGCCGGAGGCCATCAAGAAATGGAGACGACGTGAAACCAAAAGATTTTGCGAAAACATGGTGCAGCTGTTTCGATTCCAAGGGCCCCGATCGATCCACATATGTGTTGACAATGCCCTTGGGCCAGTGAATAGATTGGACATGGCAAAATAATGGTAGACACGAGGATCTTGAGAACACATTTTCACATGCAGTGGGTGGTTGTTCGAACACAAAGTAAGCTTCAAATATAGCGCTTCGAGGGAGGAGGCCAATACAGTCAGTTTGTTCAGTAGTGTGACTATAGTATCCATGGGATGTTTGTTAACGTTTCGAAAAGCCGACCATGAAGCGAATCCTATCCCTGGTTGTGGGAATTGTGCTGCAGCGGTTATTAGAGATTAAATATGAGTCATTATATCCAAAGGGAGCTCTTGGTGCTTGAGCAATTTCGTCAAATTGCAGCATTGCAGCTTTGGTTCAAGTCGTGGTTGTGTAGCACCTTGCGTGCCCAGAAGATTCAACTCTGGTGATGATGCAGCTTTGCCTGCGAGATCGTTGTGTAACATGTGTCATTAGTGACAACTGTTTGTTTCAGAGCATGTCGAGTTGTAGTGAGGAGACTCACCTGCTTCGTCTTTGCGGTTCAAGCTGTAGATAGGATATGATTGGATAATGTTTTTGCCAATTTTCATAGGAGAGATTCGCCTGTCCTCATGTGTCCTCATGCACTTGACTAGCGTCAGATCGAGGACGAGTTCGCCATCAACATGCACTCGTTCAAATTTCTTTCAAGTTTACCTCAAAGGCGCATCCATCACATCTCCAGCCACGCAATTTGTAAAAAGCAAGCTGCAGGACTCAAGGAAGCAGCCAGCAGGGGCTCAGGACATAGGTCAAGTCACCGTGGCGCGTCAGGAACCAGATATAAAAGCAAGCGAACGCAGGAAGTTGCTGAGGGGCACCGGGAATATTGAAGCAAGATGAATGCAGGAAGTTGCTGAGGGGCACCGGGAATATTGAAGCAAGATGAATGCAGGAAGTTGTTGAGGGGCACCGGGGAGGAAGCTTAGATATTAAAACAAAATGAGCGCAAGAAGTTTTGGGGAGGCTACGGGGGAAGTATAGATATTGAAAACAAATGAATGCAGGAAGTTTAGGAAGTTTGATGAGAGGCACAGGGGGGAAATTAGATATTGAAACCAAATGAGCGCAAGAAGTTGTTGAGAGACAAGGGGGGAAGCCTAGACATTGAAACCAAGTTGAGATGCATGCAAAAAGGTGTTAAGAGGCCAGACGTGAAGTCTTGAGACCAAGTGAATGAATGCAGGAAATTGCTGAGAGGCACAAGGGGGGGAAGTTTAGATATTGAAACCAGATGAATGCCCCCAAGTGGGGCACAGAGGTGTGAAAAGTAGAATTGAGAAAAAGAGGAGAGAATGGGAAGGCGGTGGGAAACCCAATGCGTCACACGGAGAGGGGCGCTGCACTCCCTGGAGAGCATAGACATTGAAACCCAATGAATGCAGGAAGTTTAGGAAATTTGACGAGAGGCAGAGGGGGGAAGTTAGATGTTAAAACCGGCCAGATGAGCGCAAGAAGTTGTTGAGAGACAAGGGGGAAGCCTAGAGATTGAAACCAAGTTGAAATGCATGCAAAATGTTGTTAAGAGGCCAGAGGGGAAGTCTTGAGACCAAGTGCAGGAAATTGCTGAGAGGTACCACGGGGGGAAGTTTAGATATTGAAACCAGATGAATGCCCCCAAGTGGGGCACGTCCACGCAGGTTGACATCAAGTTGAGCCCCTGCGCAACTGAAAGGCCGGAAGAGGGGTGAAGAGTAGAAATTGAGAAGAAGAGGGCAGAATGGGAAGGAGGTGGGAAACTGAATGTGTCACAGGGAGAGGGGCGCTGCTCCCTGGAGAGCATAGATATTGAAACCCAATGAATGCAGGAAGTTTGGGAAGTTTGATGAGAGGCCCATGGGGGGAAGTTAGATATTGAAACCAGATGGGCGCAAGAAGTTGTTGAGAGCCAGGGGAAGCCGAGAATATTGAAACCAAATGCATGCAGGAAGTTGCTGAGAGGCACAGGGGTGCAGGAGAAATTCGGACATTGAAACAACATCAAGGCAAGAAGTTGTGGAGAGGCCAACGGGGGGAAACCTACATATGAAACCAAATGGATGCATGAAGTTGAAAGACACATTGGGGGGAAGAGAAAGTTAGATATTCAAACAAGATGAGCGCAATAAGTTGCTGAGAGATGACGGGTGAAGCCTAGACATTGAACCCAAATTAAGAAGTTGCATGCAAGAAAATGCGGAGAGGCAACGGGGGAACCAGATATGAAATCAAATGACTTCAGGAAGTTGCTGAGGGGCACCGGGGAGGAAGTTTAGATATTGAGACAAGATGAATGCAGGCAGTTGCTGAGGGGCACCGGGAAGGAATCTTAGATATTGAAACAAGATGAACGCAAGAAGTTTGTGGAGAGGCTAGCGCCGGGGGGAAGTATAGATATTCAAACCATATGAGCGCAAAGATATTGAGTCCAAATGACGATGCATGCAAGAAGTTGTGGAGAGACGAGGGGGAGAGGCCTAGATATTGAAACCACATGAATGCAGGAAGTTGCTGAGAGGCACAGGTGTGTGAGAGCTTCAGAATTTTGAAGCAAGATGCTTGCAAGAAATTGCGGGGAGGCCACGGGGGTGCCACTTATGAAACTTATGAAACCACATGAATGCAGGAAGTTGTTGAGGGGCACCGGGGGGAAGTTTAGATATCGAAACAAGATGAACGCCAGAAGTTGCAGAAAGGCTAGGGGGGAGTATAGATATTGAAACTTAATGAGTGCAGGAAATGTAGGAAGTTTGATAAGAGGCACAAGGGGGGAAGTTTAGATATTGAAACCAGGTGAATGTCTCCAAGCGAGGCACTTTCATCCAGGTAGACACCAAGTTGAGCCCCTGCGTAACTGAGAAAGGCCGGAAGAGGTGTGAAAAGTAGGAGCTGCGAAGAGGGCAGAAAAGGGAAGGAGGCACTGAACCACACAATGTACTGAAATGTTTCTTGCCATGTTGCATGGTAGCGCAGCTCTAGCCCCCTACTGTCTGAAGAATTGCGATCAAGACGGAGCTTGGAGAATCTATCTAAAGGGGGTGTGGTTTGGCGAAGGGCCAGGTCCAGCAGGGGGGTGCGCAGGTCCAGGAGTCCATCCAGCAGGAGGGTGTGCAGGTCCAAAAGAATCCCAGATGGGGGAAGCAAATGAACGTGAATCATGAATGAACTTGAAGGAAACTGATGCTGGACATTGCTGGACCAAGTTTTGAGGGCAACGTGTTGTCAAACCCCAAGTGAAACTGAGAGTAAGGGTTCCGAGGGCACCCACGTGACCTATGTCATGATAAAGGCTTGGGGCCACCGACTGGGCCAGACTATGGTAGCCCAAGTAAGTTGAATGGGGCGGTTAATTAATTGAACGTGTTCGAAACCTAGGGGCAGAGCAAAGACACCAATCGGAGGGCCATTGCAATCAAATTCTTCAGTAGTGTGATTAAAATCTATAGTATCCATATGTATCCATGGGAGGGTTTATTCCAGCTTTCTACATGTTGGAGGGCCGCGAAGCAAAGACCCTCGGGTCCGAACCAGCGGATATTTCGTTTTTTCGTGTTAAGCTGATCTGGAAATGTGGTGAAAGTACGCCTGTTATTCGTTTGTCTTTCAAAAGTCATACCAACCAGAGTCAGCAGTGCCTAGCTCAATATGCAGCGGATATGCAGTGGAGTTCTTGGGGCAGTTTCGTCACATTGCAGCATTGCAACTTTTTGGTTCAAGTTGTAGTTGTGTCGCAATTTGTGAGCACAACAGGTGTAGCTATGGTGATGACACAACTTCACAGTCACATTTGCTTACTTCAAGCTGGGTGATCGACGAAATTCTGGCGCGGTCGCTGTTTCCAAGGATGCATCAATTAGACACGTCTGTCGTGTAGATGGTTCAAACGCCGTCTATGTCTTTGAGGAACTTCGAAATGAGTTGATCTCAAGGTCCTGGTAAGGAGTTGTGATATTTGTAATTGAGACCGTGAATATCATGTTTCTCCCCCTTCCTCAAAGTTTTCCTTCCATTTCGCGCACATGTTTGTCGCGAAAACACATGTTTCCAGATGAAAAAATCTTATGGAAAAACAACGAAGGCCAAAACAAGGCCAAAAAATTGATGTGGCAACTGTCAGGACATACTTGCAACCGTTCTAGGGCCTGTGACAGCCCAAGGATTTTCACGAGCCTATAGCTAAATGGAGTTTTTTCTTGCTATTTAGCAAGGGATTTTTCATGTTCTTGGGTGGTTTTTTCACGTCAATTCACAGTCAACAATTTTCAGTCAGCAATTATAAGACAGAATCAGACAGAAAGCAAGTCACTAGAATATGCAAATTTTCGCCATATAGTGACTGACCAAATTCTGAAAGGGTTGTTAGTTGCCTGGAAGGGCTGTTGGTTACCTGGAGAGGCCGTTTGTAAAAGATCTACTGCACATGTGTTGCCGCGCCTGAAGTCAACGCACTTGCGGCAGACTCCGGAAGTAGAGATTGATGTGGCAGCTGCCAGGACATGTTTGCAACCGTTCTAGGGCCTGCGACAGCCCAAGGATTTTTCACGACAGCTAGCCATAGCCAAATAGAGTTGTTTCTTGCTTTGGCCTGGCAAGGGATGTAGGTGGCAGCTGGTGCCAAACACGGAGTTTGTCACGCCTGTCCTCCCTACTCCACCTCCCCCTCATACTAGTTTGCATAGCCTTCCGATGCTCAGCTAGCGTGCACCTATGGGATTCAATTCGCAGCCCTGAAGGATGTGCGGCAATTTCTTCGCAGCCCGGGTATCTTTGATGCCCCCGATTTCTGTTGGCAAGTTCCATGTTGGCCCTGTTGCCCATCTTTGATACGATTCAGAACTGATCCAAGTAGAAGCATAGACCCTGCAGAACACGCTGAGGATACTGATTGGTGTGTTTTGCATAAATTTTCTTTCCTTCGGCAGTTGTGCTGGGTTTGGACAAGTTGGCCAT